TAAAAAAAGCTCCATTCTTCTCTCTTCTTTCTCTTTATTCTACCCCTACTACCACACAAATTAATTAAGTAATTATACCCCTGCTACCACAAAAAATAATTAAGTAAATAAAAGAAAAATAAGCAAGAAAAAAACTGAACTTTAGGACTAGAAGAAAGACTTCAAGTGGACTTTCCATATCGTTATTCATGAGCTAGGTGGTTCAAATGTTATTTTCTTTTCTTTTCCCATCCTTCTACCATTTGTACTAAAAATAATAATAATCTCATGCGTCAAAAATATTATTTTACAATAAAGAATCAATCGTACTAGAAAATAAATAACTTTTCGGAAATGTTTTACATGACATCCTACCTCTTATTCCCAACAGGCATTTCTCTTTGTCCCATTGGCCCTATATCTTTTTTTATTTTCTTACTTTTTCTTTATTCTTTTTTTTTTTTGGAAGAAAGCAACATCTATGGTCTTGCTAATTTGGATAAGTAATTATACATAAAAATAAAATTAAATAAACAATAATCAAGATGATCAACATTTATATCTGGGCTAGTTTTGATAAAATCATAATGTAAAATTTGAAGATTGCGCCAACAAAAACTTTGACATTGAGAGTGAGAGTTGACACTAATCTCACATCTCACACCTTGTTATCATATACTCCTCCATCCGTCTCATATTATCCCTCGTGCTTATTAAAATAGTTTTCTCAAATTATTTGTTATTTTAAAAGTTGAAGACAAAATTGATTACATTTTTTTCTTTTTTACCCTTAATAATAATTGTTCTTGAAGCTGGACATAAATAGAATAAATATTCAATGATAAAGATTTTATCTTAAGACACAAATAAGGGTAAAATAGTCTAATCCATTTCCTAATTAATGCTTTTTAAGGGACGTGTAATAGAGAAACACGACAGATAATATGAGACAGAGGGAATAACAAAGTAGATTTCGGTGTAGATATGAAGAATTAAACACTTCCATATTGTTTTAACTTTTAAGTTCAATGTGAATGTAAGTACATCTAATCAGTATTTGTTCCAGCACTTAAAAAATCTTAATTAAATAAAACCAGTTAGTGCATAGTTTTTGACTATTTAGTTATTATTTATGTCTTAAAATAATCTCTTTTCGTTTAATACTTACTCATAATTAAGATATTTGTAGTATTTAAGAACAATTCATATTAAGGGTAGAATAAGGTAAAAATTATTAATTCACTTTTGAACTTCTAAAATAATAAATAATTTGAGACAACTAATATTAGAAATCACCACAGACAATTTGAGACGGAGGGAGTAGACTATAAATATTAATTTGTCTTGATTTTAATATGTTAGTGCACGTAGAGATTCACAACAATTAAACAGGGAGAAATTTAAAAATAGTCAGATTTACAACCGTTCGTTTAAAAATAGCCCAATTTCAAAAGTAATAGAAATTTAGCCACTTTTTATGTAAAGATAAATCTGAGTAAAAACACTGTTCAAAACCCGAAAAATACTCCTGTATATTATGCTGGAGTTCCAGCATAAGTATACTTGAACTCCAGCATATTATACTGGAGTTCCAGGATAGTATGCTGGAACTCCAGCATAATATGATGGAATTCCAGCATAAATACACTAGAACTCCAGCATAATATACTGGAGTTCCAGCAAGTATATTGGTCCAGTGTAATATACTGGAGTTTGGAGCACCAGTGCTCCAGTCTCCAGTATATTATACTGGAGCCAGCAAAGTATACCGGTCCAGCATAATATGCTGGAGTTCATACACAAGTACACCGAACTCCAGTATATTATGCTAGACCGGTCTCTATTGCAGCAAAACGGTGGCTATTTTTTATTGACTTGGTAAACGCTGACTATTTTTGATTGACCAGTCCGAAAATTGGCTATACCGAGCTATTTTTACCAATTAAACATCATAAAGTATATTCACGTTAACATTAATACCTTTCTATTTTATTGATTCTAAAATCGGGTTACATATATAGAAAAACATTTAAAGCTCGAAGATGCTACTTTTAACTAATATCATAATGAGTTTGGTTACAAGGGCCGTTCATAGTTAAAATATAATTTAGTAATTAATTATGAAGGGCCAAGGAAACTCATAGGATCGATCACATGGATCATGATTTTGTAGACATCTCACGAAACTCATGTGTATATCACGAACTTTGAAACATATCTCTCAAATACACGTTAAAATGTTATTGATCAATTTTTCTTTTTTATATTAGAATGATTTTGATGGTTTTATTCAACATAAAGTGGGAAAATTAAAAGAACAAATGGATACAGGATGATAAATTATTAAGTCACGATTATTTTCTTGACGCAAAATTGTCACGACCCGGATTTCCCATTCTCGGGAGTCGTGATGGCGCCTACTAATGGGAGCTAGGCAAGCCAATTTAATTTACCTTTTTGCAACAATTACCAACCATTTAATAAAATCAAACATAATGACATAAAGCGGAAGTCTGAACATATATAATAAACTGAAAGAGATACGGAAGTCTAACAGAATCCTCTACCCAAGAACTGGAGTCACAACCTCACGAACGTCTATAGAATACTACACCCAAAGTCTGAATAAAACACAATACTGTTTGATCCGGTACAAAGGATAACAAGTTAAAGTAAAGGTAGAAGAGACTCCGGGTCATGCGGACGTCTGCAAGGCTACCTCGATATCTCTGGAATGAAGTCAGCTCCCAATCAACTACTGCTGTCCGAAAGCTGCTGCTCCGGTACTGTGATCTGTGCAAAAAGATGCACAGAGTGTAGCATCAGCACAACCGACCCCATGTGCTGGTAAGTGCCTAGCCTAACCCCGGCGAAGTAGTGACGAGGCTAGACCAGACTACCAGATAAACCTGTGCAGATATATATACAAGTACAACAAAATAATAGCGGAAAGTAAACAAGAAGTAAGCAGTGTATAAAAGGGGGGGGGGGGGGGGAACATGCTATGGGGAGGCAACAATTAAAACAAGAAGTCTAAACTGAAGGATAGAACAGCCAACAGAAACTTAATCCGGAATAAACACGCTTAAGCTGTAATTTGTTGCGGCACGCAACCCAATCCGATCACATACAATACTGTTGCGGCGTGCAACCCGATTCTCAATCATCACTATTGCGGCGTGCAACCCGAACCATAAGTATACAGTGTTGTTGCGGCGTGCAACCCGATCCACAAATATATAGTGTTGTTGCGGCGTGCAACCCGATCCACAAATATATAGTGTTGTGGCGGCGTGCAACCCGATCCATATATAAATAACACAACCTCACCCAATCAACAATCACAAACAATGGGGGCGGGGGATAGACAAACAGTAATAGAAGTCCCGGCAAGGGAAACACAAGTAAACAGTTAAATCCCGGCAAGGGAGAAAATCAACAAATCCAATAACACGTCCCGGCAAGGGAGTAACCATCAACTCTTTCTCTTTCTTCCATTTCTTACTTCACGATATCACTTGAGCCCAAGCTCCAAGAAATTTCTTATCTCATATACCGTCACAAACACAATATAACGACATCCCGGTAAGGGAACAAAACATCATCTCAAATATTCCGGCAAGGGAATTACTATAACCACACTAGTTCCAACATCTAACTACCACAACTATAACCAAACTTGTTCCAACATCTAACTACCACAGCTATAACCAACCTATTACAACACTTAACCACCTCAGCTATATCTAACCTATTACCACACTTAACCACCTCATCTATAACTAACCTATTACAACACTTAACCACCTCAGCTATAACCATAGTCATCTCACAACACAAGGAAGCATTAACCTAAGCGACCCTAGTATCAGTTAAGGACACAATGCAGAGGAATCACAACTCAACAATAGCCCGCCAAGAGGGCAACATAATGATCTCTTTCTCTTTCTCACTTTTACTTCACGATTCTCTTCACAACTTCGAGCAAATGCTCCAGAGGTTCAATTATCACTTATACTTTCGCAATTCGTTCTACAACTGGAGTCGACGCTCCTCAATGTTCATAAATCGCATTTCTTCCCACAATTTTACACAACAAACAGAAATACACACCAAAGCATGGATAATACAACGAAGCCATAAAAGTCACAATATCAGACTCACGATCATGCTAGACACCAATGTATAGATACTCGTCACCATGCCTATACATCGTACTCGATCAATTAGCAAATAGCAAACAAGACTCAACTCCTATTCCCTCAAGCTAGGGTTAAACCAAACACTTACCTCAACTTCCACGGTCAAATTAATCCATAACGACCGCTTTCCCTTTCAAATTCGGCTCCAACTCAATCAAATCTATACAATAAGGACTTCATAATATTAATATAGGATAAATAAATCAAACCCAATGCCTAGATATAGATTTCCAAGCTTTCTTCCCAAAAATTCCAAAATTGCCCCCAAGCCCGCTTGGCCAAAACACGAGGTTCGGACCAAAATTAAATCCCCCATTCATCCACGAGCCCGAATATATAATTTGTTTTCAAATTCGACCCCAAAACGAGGTCTAAATCGAAAAAAATCGAAAAGCCCTAACTCTACCCATTTCCCCAATTTCAACCCTAGATTGCAAGATTTAGGCTTAGAAACTTACTAATTAATGAAGGAAAATGAAGGAAATGAGTGGGAATTTACTTACCCAGGAGGTCTTGATGAAAAGAAGCTTCAATGGAGGCCTAAGGACCTTGGAGAAGAAGGAACTCGGATGTTTTTATGAAAATTTTGCGACCATACTGTTCTGAAAATTAAAATATAACTGGGCAGATTTACCCTTCGCGTTCGCGAAAATGGGGATGCGTTCGCGAAGGGTTACACGGGCAGAGCATCGCGATCACGGGTCGAGTAACGCGAACGCGTAGAGGAAAAATTACTGGGGTCCAAGGTTTGGCCTACGCGAACGCGTGAGGCCTAACGGGATCGCATTGAAGGGAACGCTGAAGCTACGCGAACGCGTGATGGGTGATCGCGAACGCGAAGTAGAGAGCAGTGAAGGCATCGCGATCGCGGAGGGAAGTCGCGATCTCGAAGAAGGGAGGGCCTGTGCACTGCTGCAGATTTTTCTGCAGAAATTCTAAGTTCTAAACCTCCCGGAACACCCCCGAAAACACTCTCGAGCCCTCGGGGCTCCTAACCAAACACACACACTAACTCAACAACATCCTACGAACTTAAATGTGCGATCAAATCGCCAAATAACGTCATTTACATCAAATTAAGCCTCAAAATCCATAATTCCTTCCAAAATTTTCGTAGAACATAAATTTTTCCATTTCAAGTCCGAAACATGTCAAATGACGTCCGTTTTCAACCAAACTTTACAGAAAGCGCTTAAAACACATATAAGACTTGTACCGGGCGCCCGAACCAAAATACAGGCCCGATACCAACAGTTTCTAATCCATTTTCATTTCAAATTTCCATATAAATTTCAGAAAAAAATAATTTCTTTTAAAAATTTATTTCTCGGGCTCGAGACCTCGGATTTCGATTCCGGACATACGCCCGAGTCCCATATTTTCCTACGGATCCTCCGGGACCGTCAAATCACGGGTCCGGCTCCGTTTACCCAAAATGTTGACCAAAGTCAACTTTAATCATATTAATATCAAAATTCATCAATTTTTACACAGAATTCATATTTAAGCTTTCTGGCTACGCGCCCGGACTGCGCACGCAAATCGAGGCAAGTAAAAATAAGGTTTTCAAGGCTTCGGAAGTACGGAATGAAAGAGAAAACAGGTGATGACCTTTTGGGTCGTCACAAAAATGTATTCTCTACGGTTACCAATTGATATTTATTTTTATTTACTTTATAAATGACTTGAGTCCTTCTTTTCTTTTACATAATCTCTCTATATATATAAAGCTGGGCAATCAAAGAGCTTATGTGGCAGGCCTCACAAGCCAAGAAATCTATTTTCCAATTTTCTCAGATTTTAGCCATTTTCGGTCTTTCTCTTCCTTCAAAATCTACCGCGTCTCTTAAATTCTGAAACGGTCCACTAATTCATCCATAACTGTTCGCTCATTCTCTTTAACTTCTCGCATCTCTTTGTATTCTAACCAACTCGCACCTCTACATGTACTGATGAATTTCGACGGATTCTATTCTTCTTTCTATTCTGATTCTATTCTTTTTTCTTCCTTCTTTCTCTAGCTCTTTCTCTCTTTCTGATTTTGAAATTTCGTTGTCCTATTCTTGCAGATATTCACTAATGTGAATTTAATACCAAGTCAAGGTAATTATGCATTACAATGATTTTAGTTGTTACTTAAAATTTTATCATAACAACTTCAATGAAAATTTATGATTGTGTAAATTTCTACTGATGATTTTTGCTTTTTACGGAAGTGGGTAAGATTACTATGACTCTATAAGTAAGGATGTAATAGCAATTTGGATCTCAATGTGATCTTTCCCTCTAGCTACTTTTACCTATTAACGATTTATTCTTTCCATGTTATTACTGCTTATTGACAATGTTATCCCTTTCTTAAGAAAAGAGGTTTATGATTTGATTCATTCCCATGCTATTTTTGATTTATGCCATGTTAGTTGGAACTTCTATCTTCATTTTCGCTTTATTGCATTTACCAGGTAATTGAACCTCACTTCTAATTTTATGCTCTGATGGAGTATGCGAGAAAAGAGATTTGGTGTTTATCTTTACTTTCATTTAATTGCATTTTTTTCTCCTTTGTCCAAAAAGTCTTCACATTTTTTTTCTTCTCAATTCAATTTTGAATAGAAATATTGTGCAAGTTAATTTTCCAAATTCTAAGGTTTTTGTGCATTCCTACAGGTCTTGATAACACTAAATGAAAATTTTAGGTAAATTAGTTCCTGCTAGGATTTTAGAGTAAGAACGTGGAGTCGGAGCATGAGATTTTCAATTAAGCTTTTACATAAGGCGACTGGGCATCTTCTAAGGTCTGCTTCCTTTTGTTGCTTAGCTTTAGATAAAATTTACTGTTGTTATAAGATATAATTTGCTGCTAGGATATGATGTCAAGGTTTTTCCATATACTGATGTTTCTTCATATTTAGTAGTAAGATGATGAAAAAGCTCATGAACCATGTAGCATTGTAAGAATTCAATTGGTTTAATGATTGCTGTAGATACCTCTGATTGAATTATGGGGAATCGTTAAATCTTTTGCATTCCCTTGGCAGTTCGCTTTAAAAGAAATCTCCAGTTTTCCTTTGTACTTAAATTCAACGTAAGGGAGTTTGATTGATTAAAAATCTAGAAAAGAGTTCCACTTGTCAGGTAGTTTATATCACTTCAATATTCTTATGCAGTTACAAATCAGATAGAGATCAATTATACATATGTCATATGAAGCCATGCAATTTTTTTTTCTTTTATCTCATTTTTTTGGCATTTTCCCTTGTTTTTATGTAATTTCTCAAATTTTTTCCAATTTTTCCCTTAATTTCCTTTCATCGCTTTCACTTTTTATTCTCTCTTTCAGTTTTTACATTTAATTTTCAGTTACCTCCTTCTCATGATTCCATTATCCCATTTAACATCCTCACATAAAGTATCAGTTACAAAATAGGTAATCGTTGCTTTTGGAAAACAATACGAAGAAATGTTTCATTTTTAAAGAATCTATATATGCTGCATTCTTGCTCACGTATTTGAAGGCTTCCAAAGCTTTCGAGCATTAGATTGGTTTTGAGACATTTTCAATTACTGAGACCAACAATGTTAATTATCTTTGCTTTCTCAATTTCACCTTTNGAAACGTTTCATTCTTTAAAAATGAAACGTTTCTTCATATTGTTTTCCAAAAGCAACGATTACACATATGTATAAAATTGATCTCTATCTGATTTGTAACTGCATAAGAATATTGAAGTGATATAAACTGCCTGACAAGTGGAACTCTTTTCTAGATTTTTAATCAATCAAACTCCCTTACGTTAAATTTAAGTACAAAGGAAAACTGGAGATTTCTTTTAAAGCGAACTGTCAAGGGAATGCAAAAGATTTAACGATTCCCCATAATTCAATCAGAGGTATCTACAACAATCATTAAATCAATTGAATTCTTACAATGCTACATGGTTCATGAGCTTTTTCATCATCTTACTACTAAATATGAAGAAACATCAGTATATGGAAAAACCTTGACATCATATCCTAGCAACAAATTATATCTTATAACAACAGTAAATTTTATCTGATAAAGCTAAGCAACAAAAGGAAGCAGACCTTAGAAGATGCCCAGTCGCCTTATGTAAAAGCTTAATTGAAAATCTCATGCTCCGACTCCACGTTCTTACTCTAAAATCCTAGCAGGAACTAATTTACCTAAAATTTTCATTTAGTGTTATCAAGACCTGTAGGAATGCACAAAAACCTTAGAATTTGGAAAATTAACTTGCACAATATTTCTATTCAAAATTGAATTGAGAAGAAAAAAAATGTGAAGACTTTTTGGACAAAGGAGAAAAAAATGCAATTAAATGAAAGTAAAGATAAACACCAAATCTCTTTTCTCGCATACTCCATCAGAGCATAAAATTAGAAGTGAGATTCAATAACCTGGTAAATGCAATAAAGCGAAAATGAAGAGAGAAGTTCCAACTAACATGGCATAAATCAAAAATAGCATGGGAATAAATCAAATCATAAACCTCTTTTCTTAAGAAAGGGATAACATTGTCAATAAGCAGTAATAACATGGAAAGAATAAATCGTTAATAGGTAGAAGTAGCTAGAGGGAAAGATCACATTGAGATCCAAATTGCTATTACATCCTTACTTATAGAGTCATAGTATCTTACCCACTTCCGTAAAAAGCAAAAATCATCAGTAGAAATTTACACAATCATAAATTTTCATTGAAGTTGTTATGATAAAATTTTAAGTAACAACTAAAATCATTGTAATGCATAATTACCTTGACTTGGTATTAAATTCACATTAGTGAATATCTGCAAGAATAGGACAACGAAATTTCAAAATCAGAAAGAGAGAAAGAGCTAGAGAAAGAAGGAAGAAAAAAGAATAGAATCAGAATAGAAAGAAGAATAGAATCGGTCGAAATTCATCAGTACATGTAGAGGTGCGAGTTGGTTAAAATAGAAAGAGATGCGAGAAGTTTAAGAGAATGAGTGAACAGTTATGGATGAATTAGTGGACCGTTTCAGAATTTAAGAGACGTGGTAGATTTTGAAGGAAGAGAAAGACCGAAAATGGCTAAAATCTGAGAAAATTGGAAAATAGATTTCCCGGCTTGTGAGGCCTGCCACATAAGCTCTTCGATTGCCCAACTTTATATATATATATATATATATATATATATATATATATATATATATATATATATAGATTTTGAGTCTTTTGGTTATTTACATTTATTATTGGGATGTTGGAGAAGGAGCGAGAAAATCTAAATTAATCCACACTCCAATATGAGTATCAGAGACGCCAAATGTGAAACAAGAAAATAAATTAATTTTTTTCTTTACAAACCCTAAAGTATTTTTGTTTACCGTGGACTTACAAGTCTTCTTATGAAAGAAAATATGAAACTTCCTGCCTCGACTTGTAAATCTTTTTCCTTTATTGTTAAAGATCATAGTGTCATGAATAAAATTTCTTTATCTTTAATCTAAGAGATCAAGAGTGAAAAAAATTATGTTAGAAAGTATTTTTCCTTTAATTGATCTTACACTGTGTGGATCTTAATTAGTTGGGGTCTCAAAGTGAATTTCACACACTTATTGGAATACAGAGCTCATTTAGATTAGCTGATTGCAAATAGTTGATAAGCTTAAAGTGTTAAAAAATATTTTTTAAGTGCTGCAACTGATTTTTTAAATGAGTATTTACGTGTTTGGATAAGCGTGCTGAATTTGATAATAAGTAGTTGATGTGTCAGAAAATGCAAATAAGTTGTTCTATCGTTAAAATGACTATAATTCCCTTAAAAACTTTACAAAAGTTTATAAATTTAAAAAAAAAGAATGTAAGGAAAAGAATGAACAATGAATACAGGATGTAGAGAAAGTTAAACAATCTATTTTGTGAATTGAAAAAGATTATTAAGGATAAACCGTATTGGTCAAACTAAAAATGTCTATAAGCTGAAAAACTATAAGTTAGGGATGACATGCTATGGGTGTCCAACGGGACGGGACGGGACGATTTTAACGGGACGGGACGAGATTTAGGCGGGACGGTGGCGGGACGGGACGAAACGGGACGGGACAAACGGGACGNCCCGCCCCGCCAACCAAACGGGACGGGACGGGACGGGTTCGTGGGCCTTAAGTGTATTTTTTTAAAAAAAAAAAATTCTAGTTTTTTGAAAATTACTATGTTTTTAAAGTTTGCAACGGCTAGATTTTTGACTTATTTAATAAACTTAAATATTACTATGTTAGTATGTTAAAAAGAAAATTAGAAAACTAAGTAAAGAATTATAAAATATTAAAACAAAAGACTTGTAATGAAATAATCTAGTAAATATAAATTTATAATAGAGTTATAATTTATTTAATATAATTTCAAAGTATTAACTATTAAGTAGCACCGACAAATCATAAAAATAATTCATCTCTTAGAGCCATTTATTTTATTAATAGAACTTTCAAATCTCAAATACAAATACAATTCTTTTGAAGAGCACCTAATCTACGCAGCCACCTTCTAGGAAGGGTTCTGTTTGAACTAGGCCTCTTAGTAGCCAATTACAAATTATCATACTAATATTTGTAAGCTCCTATATAGCTTCTTTGTAACTTATCAATAATATCTCTTGGACATTCTACTGGAATTGGCAATGTTGATTGATGTTCTATGAGCTCCATGCCATCATCGCTCCCAGTGGTAAGTATCTCATTGTATTCTTCTTCCTCCCTAGTGGTTAGTTTTTCAAAACCAAGATTTCTTCTTTCTGAATTAATCCAATCTCTGAATAAGACGGAAATCTCTAGACTGTCCTCCGCTAATGAATGTCTATGATCTCCAATTTGAAATCTTGCCGCGCTAAATGCACTCTCCGATGCTACTGATGATGATTGAATAGCCAGGATATCTCGGGCCAT